ACCACGATGGCTGAGGGGCCCACGTGTAACTGAGTGACATAGAGATCCGCGGCATCAGCTTTCGACCTTATCTCTAAGGCGGCGGTATTCAAATAGGAATATCCCTCGGGCATATCGAGGGGATTCCCTTGATCTGCGACGCTGCCCTTCTTCTTGGGAGCAGCAACCTTCGCCTTCTTTTTTCCAGGGGCCACCCGGATGGGAACCGCGTTCAGCGGCCGAGAGGTGCTGGCCTCACCAGCTCCCCGAGGGGGGACTACAGCGACGGTGACCCTCGCCCCCTCTTTCTGCGCCTCTTCCTCAGCTGCTTGCCAGGCGAGGGCCAGCTCTTCGTCTTCACACTCTTGTTCGAAGCCCTCGGCTTCCGCCTCAGCAACGAGGGTTTTCTGCAGCTCCATGGCGACGACAGCATCTTGTCCCACCGAGGGCTGTTCGCTTGTGGACTCCACGTCCGAGATGACTTCATCCTCCATCGAGGGCGCCCCAGAGATGTCCTGGGAATCACTTTGGGAAGACATCTTTGCACTAGTTCGAGGGCTCGGAAACGCTAAGTTTTCTAAATTAACCCCTAGATCTAAGGCCGCTACAGCTAGCTAAGGAGGGAGAAGAACAGGTGGGGAACTGACCTTAAAGCGGGGATTGATCGAAGGCAGCTGTTTCTCTCTCTAGGAATTTTGGCAGAGCTTTGCTAACGGATAAATCGCACATGGGAAGTGAAGCCGGCCATGGGGTATTTATAGGCGCTGGGATCCGGGCTTGGGCCTGGAAATCGGGCCTCCGGTTGGACTGCCATCATTACAAAGCGTGGTTTCGCCCAATCGGTGACGCCCGCCCACAGGCAGCCAACGAGCACACACCACGTGGCAACTCCCCCCAACGGCTATATCCTGACGTTAGATATTCCAACGGCTATATCTCCAACGGCTATATTCTGGGAGCTCCCAGCTACACTTGACAGACCACTCCTTCATCAACCAAGAAATTAGCCCCCGGGCTTTTTACTTCACTCCACTTCATCAAGAAGAGCCTCCGGGTATACTTACCCAGAGACGCTCCCGGGTTGTGCCCCACACAGTACATGACAAATGCCTTCAAGATCACTCCTTCAGAAGCCCCCGGCTTCATAACAGGCCACCCCTCGGGGATCCCCTCAGCACTTTGAGGGTCGGGTAGCCCCCGGGGAGTACGCCTCATTAACAAGTAGTCTACGGCACACAGGTAACGGGAGCCCTCGGATACCCTTCTCCCCAACTGAACAACAAACAGGGGGCACCCCGGTGACACTTCAACTGCTACTCACATTCATGACGCCCCCGATCCCTAGATTGAGGGACTCCCCTTCGGCACCTCCCAGGAAATCAACAGCATGCCCCCGGCTAATCAACACATGAGCCCTCAGAACAAGGAAAGCCTTCGGCATCAACATTATTCTCCATTTCGAACCAAGGTTTCTCATTTTCGATTCATCGTTGGGGGAATTCGGTGCACTCTTTTTCCCTCATTAGGATTTTTTTCCCACGGGGTTTTTCCTAATGAGGGTTTTAACGAGGCATCCCCCCAAAATGAAACGAAAAGCGTCAGCCTTCGGCCCAAAACAGCAGCGCAACTACTCTACTCCTTTTCACCACTTTGCAAGTGCCTCAAGGAGTGGGGGACTGGAGAACCCCCCCCCCCCCCCCCCCCCCGCGAAAATCACAAAAATCACAAACATAACCCCTCAAGTCCCGACATGTGGGTAACTGAGGGACTGCCCTCGGCAGAATAAACAAACAACAAACTACCCACAACACCACAAACTACAACGGAACAACGGCAGAGGACAAACACAATTACTCTTTTTCCCTCAAGTACCTTTCGGCAAAAGGAGTGAGGGACTCCTGATGGAGTATATGGCCCGGGAACCCCCGGCCCATAGACTCCTACTACTCCAATGAAGGCCCAACAGGCCCAGGAAGCACAATAGGCCCAAATCACCGCGCCCAAAGTACCAAGCAGCCCACAAATGCGCACCAGGGGGTGCCTTCGGCCCCCTGGCCGAAGGCTCTAACTCTCACAGGAGGGCCAAGACAGGAAAACAAAGTTACTGGGAAAAACGGCGGAAATCAGTAGCCCTCGGCACCTGGAGCCCTCGGCACTAAGGGGGTCCCCGGTACTCAGAGCCCTCGGCTAGTCATCTACTGCCGAGGGCGCCTTTTCCGACACAATATCCGCTCCACATACGTATGGATCACCTTACCCTGTACAACGTCCCATCCAACAGCCGCATTAAATGCGGCCACATGCGTTTGCCAGCGCCAACCAGTTGAGGTGACCTCTCGGCCAATGGACGCTTGACACGTGTCCCTGTCCGGCATTTATTGCTACTATAAATAGCACCTCATTTCCCCATTTGTAACCAAGTCACGATACACACGCTGCATACTTTCTAATATACTTTCTCTCCCTACTTACTTGCTCTGACTTCTCTCTAGTTATTCCCCGTAATAACCCCTCGGATAAGCTACCCCCCGGGTACACTATCCATCAGACATATATAATGATAATAATAATTATAATAATAATAAAAGCATTCATAATTAATTGTTATGAAAACAACCTACAATATTAATATACTAATAATAGTAAAAACTTTAATAATAAGAATAATACTACGTAATATAGTGTCATAAATTTGTTAAATACTCCCTCCGTCCCCCAATTAAGTTCACGGTTTCACTTCACACATATTAAGAAAATAAATTTGATTTTACTGTAGAGTGTACTGTTTGGGCACTGTTTTGCACTGTTTGGACACTGTTTTGCACTATTTGACATTGTTTTGATGTAGATAATTTGTCAAATAAGGAAAGTAAGAAAGTGTAAACTTAATTTAGAGACTATCTAAAAATGAAAGTAGTAACTTAATTGCGGGACGGAGGGAGTATTAATAGTAAGAACATATACTTTTATATTTATAATAATATCATACAAATAATGGTACTGATAATAAAGATGGTCCTTGCGGAGCAGGGTAGTGAGTGTCTTAGAGAGAAGTTTGAGATATAAATCTTTGAGTGTTAAAAATGGCAGAGTAACGGTATGCTATTATCTCGAATGCGCCTCCCTTTTCACTAATAGCTAATCTAATTGGCACGGTTGCCATATAGCGATCCACATTCCCATATCCACATATTCGGTCTATTAGGGTTTTATCAAAAATATGTTGGGGGAAATTTAGACAATTTATTGATTTATTTATTCATTTATCAAGTATATTCTTTAAGTAAGTAGTAATACTTTGGTAACTTTCTCTATTTTTTTAGATAAGGTTTGTCTTTAAAATATTAATTATTCAGTCGTGTAAGAGGTTTATACACTACAAAAAAATTCGCTTGTAGTCACGGATCGTAGTCACGGATTTGGTCCGTGACTAGTTAGTCACGGTTATAATCACGGTTTAGTCACGGAACGTTTAAAAAAAAAAGTCACGGATTTGGTCGTGACTACGTCCGTGACTACCTATAGTCACGGACCTAGTCCGTGACTAAAGTGTTCCGGCCAACCCATTTTCGCCTCCGACGGGATTTTTTTAAATTTGAAATTAGTCACGGATGGTTCCGTGACTAGTGCCGTGACTACAGTTAGTCACGGATACGTCCGTGACTAATTCCGTGACAAGAATAATTTGATACAACTATATACTATAAATACTTTTATATACTTCATATATATATAATTAGTCAAAGTTTAGCATCATTGAATAGAAGATTAAAGACTTTTTTGCCTCAAGTGGGACTAAATCAATCCTGAAATTCCTAAATAGGACTATCTATATTTTTATTCCCCAAATAGGACTAGATTACCTATTTACCCTTACCGCCTCTTAAACTTACCTGCGCAGACCTTCTTTCTCCCCTGCGCACACTTTTCCCCTGCATTTCTCTCCTTTCCCTTCACCATGAACAACCGCTGCAGTTCTCTCATTCCCCTGCAGCGGCCATCGCGAAGTCCACGCTGCCATCGCGAAGTCCTCCCTTGCGGTTCTCTCCTTCCCCTGCAGCCGCCATCGCGAAGTCCATCGCCGCCGCTGCCATCGCGAAATCCGTCGTCGCCGCTGTCGGAGATGCTATTCTTCTTCCCCATTCTCCCTTTCTTCTTTGATTGTTACAAAATGGCAAGTTAAACTCTAAAAAAGCCATCAAAATGGCATTCCATGTCTTCAAAAAAATTGTATTTTCCTTTGCAAATGCCATTAAAATTGCATTATGATAAAAATCTTGGCATTCACACCGACAACGCCCAGATCTGGAACTGAGGACGTCAGATTTGCAGCAGTAGATGCCGGATATGGTGCGACAGTGGCCAGATCTGCATCAGTGGTGTCCAGATCTACAACAGCGGCCTGTTTTGGAGGCGGCGGAGATGCCGGAAACTGGCAGCGACCAGTGGCGACCGGCGGCGAGTGGCGGTGACCGGCGAAAGACGGTGGTCCTGTGTTTGGTCGCAACAGTATTAATTCCAAGCGTCAAGGGCATTTTTGTCCAATTACAGATTATTACTCCCGTTTAGGGTATGTTTGGGAGTTCGGATGGAAGGAGAGAGAAAGGCATTGGAGGTACGTTGTTGGAGGGGAAAGGGAGGGTAGGGTGAAGAAGCCCTACTTTGTATTTGGGAGTAATAAATTTGGAATAAGAGAGTTTTTGAATTAATTATAATTAAAATTACTTTGAGATTTGACAAATTTAAATAATTGAACTGATATTTATTTTTAATTGAGCTTAAATTATCATTTCATTAATTATCCTTCAAAATCATCCAAATTGGGAGAACTTAAAAAGTAGGCATTTAGAAGGTTTTGGAGGGTCATGAAAGCCTTCCAAAACCATCCCTCCAGTTTTATAAACTCCCAAACATGAAAAGGATGGTTATAAACCCTATCAATCTCCCCCTCCTCTCCAAAACCCAACTCCCAAACACACTCTTAGGATTTTTTTAAACTTTAGTCCTATTTTGGCAATTACAAATTAATTTACTCCTATTTAGATAAATACCTCTAGATTAAAAGATAATTAATTAAAAAGGAAGTAATTAATAGTGTTACATACATACATCTGAATTGGATCGAATCCAAACTTTGTTCGGACCAAAGCTCGGCGATGGAGGTAATTAGTTGGGAATTAATTAGGACAATAAACAATCTTCCCAGAAGAGCCTATCCCTCTCCTTTTCACTAATCATCTCCAAATTACAAACCTTTGTTTTTTTTGTCCGTTTTGCCCCCCTAACTCCCAACGGCAAGATCTTATGCCCAATTTTAATGCTCAACACCGACCGTTGATTTACTTCAACTTCGTCCTCATTCTCGTCCTCGTCCTCATCATTGTTGTCTTCATCCCAGTTATTATAATTATTGTAACCTTTTTCCTCGTACCTAAAACAACTGGAAATAGGATTAATAAGCTCTTGATGAGGGCAATCGTCGCTGCGGCAGTCTTCATCGTGAACCTCCCCGATAACGCTACGGCCGCTGCATGACTGGGCATCGTCGTCCTCAACCACCGCCGAATCCTGGTGTAGAACGGAAGACTCAACGTCTGATGAATCTCCGGTGGCCTCGAATAGGTAGGAACGGGACAGATCGACGACGTTACCATTGAAATTGAAGCACGCGTTCATCATTATCGGCTGCCGGTTTAGTTTCGGGTGTACGTTTCGTAAAATCAGATCCAGCATATGGCATACATATGTGATATTTATATATATATTTATATATATATCGACTACAAAGAAATACGGATGACTGTAAGATTTATGGAGTTTTGCGAAAAATGAAAACCTTTTCAATGAGAAGGAATAGATCATGCCCCTGTAATAACTTCCAACTTTCCTTTTTCGTCTGTTCCAATTAAAAATTTCATTTTCTCTTTTTGATAAAGAATTTGTGAATCACAATATTTCTTTCTACTCTATACAACTTTCCACTACACAATACCCACTATATTAAATTGTGTGTCAAATCTATTTGGGAGTTATAATAGGAACCAAGGTAGTATTTTAAAGAACTCTTTATACTTATATACGGGTGAGTGGGGAATATACTCGGTAATTATTATAGGCATACAGCATAGACCCACGTGTACAAAGTATAGTACAGTATTATTCAAAATACCCATTATCCCATGTCACATCTTATACACCACTTCCATCTCATTCATGTGATTCAATTTGACTTCACACGATTATTATAAATTGATTAAAAAAGGAAAAGTTGTACTTGATGTTTGTGTATAATAAAGTGAAATGTGTGGCTCACATATTTGTTTGCAAAAAAAGAAAAGAGACATTTATTTTAGGATAACCAAAAAAAGAAAGTTGGACAGGTAAAATGTGATGGATGGAGTACTTAATACTTGTGCGTCTTGTTCAAAATGTTGGTTCATAAGAAATGTTTTTTCCATACTTTAACAACTTTCATTTTTTATTTATGTGCAAATGTAGCACACCTCTTCATATGCGCAGGGCCGTATATTAGGGCGTGCAAGAAGTTGGACTCAAAATTTTAAATATAATCTACATAATATACAAATTTCCTTTTTATTTGATTGAAGATTCCTATTTTAGTTTTTTTAAATACAAACATTAAATAGTAATATTTATATGTAATTAAAATGCAATTGTTAATTACAATTATGAAATTTCTTTATTACATTACATAAGGCCTGATTATAGTCATTAGCACAAAGCTCTCTTACAATTTGGGATGAGCTTGCGTATGTGTATACGTCAATGTAATACGAAATCATTATATTTGACTTATTTAGGAGTTTTGTACTTCACTTTTCAAATTTGTTAAATGACATTTGATAATTAACGTGTTCCGTCCGGAGAACGCATCGAACACCATGACTTGTGATGGTATGATTCTTCCTTTTCTAGGAAGCATTTTTCTGCCTCCAAATTTCCTTACCAATCATGTTCACGCGGCCCAAGGGGCCGGGCTACTAACCCATGACAATTCCATCGAGATGAAATCCATTCCCTACCTCCAAATCGGTGTAGACCGATAGAGACGAGAAAGAGTTTTTTTCCAACTCCAAATTTCCTTACCATTCGTGTGTGCACAGCCCAAGGGGCTTGGGCTACTAATCCTTGATAATTCCATCGAGATGACCTTGTAAGGAGTTAAAAGGATAAACATTTTTATGAAGAAAAAGACTAATGATGACACGACTAGATATAGGCTCAAGTAAATGATAACCATTATAACATGATGCATAGCCAAGAAAAACACATTCAAGAGAGTGGGGAGATAGTTTATTTGAAGAAGAAGCAGAAAAATTAGGACGCGGGCACAACCAAACACACGTAGAAAGATAAATTGGGGATTTCGTGAAAAAGATTTTCATAAGGAGACCCACCAAAAAGAAGAGGGAAGATAATAGGTTAAAAAGATATTCACCAGTAAAACTAGCATCAACCTAGAAGTGTCTATATAGAAACAGAGGCTTGAAGAAGCATCGTCCTGGTTGGTTCCAGGAGATGACGATGTTTACGCTCAGCCACTTCATTTTGTTGAGGCGTGTCTAGGCAGAATTTCAAAAATAAATGACATGTTCATAAACAAATTGCTGCATACTAAAATTAACAATTTCACCTCCTCCATCACTCTGAAAATTTCTAATTATGCAATTAAACAGATTTTCAACCAAAGCTTTAAAAACTTTATAGTGACTAAAAACTTCACATTCCTACGCAAGTGTATAACCACATAAAAGGAGAAAGTTCATCAATAAAGTAAACTTAATATTTAATACCACGATTAGAAAGAACATGAGAGTGTCAAACATCAGAGTGAATTAATTGCAAAGACATAAAACTAAGTATGACTAGCATCCGTAAAACATAATCATTGTGATTTGCACAAATGTTAGGAAATACAATCATGAGAACACCTAGAACTACTACATATTTGTTTTGAGTTCTTGAAAGATGTAAAATATTATCACCACAATGACCTAACATACGATGTTAGACACGACCAGAAGCAATGATTGAGAAATTGGTAAGGAGTTGGAGGACTTTGACTGAGAGGGTAGAGATGGTCATTATTGCTAGCTTATAGAAGAACTGCTCCCGATATTTTATCCTTAACAAAAAAAGTGTTATAAAAAAATAACAATACAGTTGTTATCAATGCCCACACAATTTCTGACTAGAAATTAGATTATGATTAATGTAAGGAACATGATAAACTGGTTTAACACAAGAGGACGGGTAGATGAATTTAGATGCACACCACCAACATGATAAATGGAGAGTTGAGTACCATTAGCAACACTAATACAGATTGGACCAAATAAGTAGAATTATTAATTATAGTATCTTCTGAGGAAGTCATGTGAGCAGAAGCACCGGGGTCAGGATACTGTAAAGTGTCATTGGACTCACCATTGGGAGCCAGTAAAGTCGATGCAGATCACAGAATGACCAACAGAAAAATAGATTTGACAAACAACTGGAGGTGGAATAGACCCAAGAATACCCTCAACTTGTAGAAAGCCTGCATAACCAGATTTGGTACCACAAGTAATAAGTAAGTAGTATTTAAAGTTGAAAAACAAACTTACTAATAGCACTTGCAGTGCTCAGCCAATACCTTAATGTCCCTTAAATAATGTTCCATAGAATGATTTTCTTTCTTTTTAATGTGAGATAGCATATGCTTGAGTTCCATGGAACAGGCTAAACCACCAAACATAAACCAAGATTGCGACCGATCCCCAACACAAAAAGAGTCTTTAATGCCATGCACATCAACTAATACATCACTAGAAAAAATGTTTCTAAGACTTTTTTGACGAATAAGAGTAGCAATCAACCAAGAACGGATTGCTTGATCCACCCTCAGACAATGATAGTATTTGGTATTAATAATTTGACGATTATTAAAATCAATGATGTACATGAAAGTTACCTGAATGGAGCCATCAATGATGCCAAACAGTCTCTGAGACACCAGGAATGACTCGAATTAAGTTCGCCAAATGAGCTAGTCTTCGAAAGCCTTGAGATTGATCGTGACAATATGTGTAACATTGGCTGAGACTAGGAGAGGGATTGAGGCAAGGATCCCATGTGAGACCCGAACAGAGGCTGGTCAGATATTGACCGAGAAGCACCAGGTGTGCCAAAGACCCAAAAAATGACAAGTTAGACATCAACGGAGGGCACCGAACCACAGGAGAAGATGGAGCACCCACGGAGTGTGATGGAAAACAGGGAGGCAGAGTATTGAAGAGAGAGTAAGTACTGGTGGCGGGAACAGTGCAAAAGTAGACATTGGATATGGCGACGACGTTGGAGACGAAACTGGTTGCGACATTGAATGAGAGACGACGCAAATCGTCGATGTAGTGCGCATAGCTAGAGATGAAGTAGCCACAGTGGTGGATGAAGATGAGCGGGATGTAATCACCAAAGAGGAAGAGCCAACGACAGAGGTGTCCTGCTGCATGGCGGCCTTAGGGTTAGGAAGAAGGGAACTGGATTTCTTAGGTTTATTCATGTGAAATAATGAAACAAATTACCTCAATAGAAGACTTGACAGATTTATTTATAATAAGATACTAAAATGTCAATTACAAAAATATCCCTAACATGTATATTAGTATAACTTGCTACATCGAAGGAGTAATTAAGGGATATTTATAGTCCTCTTAGGAAATATTTGGATGGCCAACGTGGAGTTTTCGACTTAGATGGCTCTTCCAAGGATCTTCATCCAATCAGGGTAATATCCTTTCCTCCAAGGGAAGGTCCTCGTTTATTGTAGAATAAGGATCATCATTTAGTCCTATGGATTGCTTGAACAGTGCCCACAAGCCCGACCTAACCCATATGGATAACAGGCTAACCCAACCTATTATTTTTAAAGGATGGGCATGGTATAGTGTGTTTGAACCCAGTCCATCATGACTCATCTCGGCTTCTTAACCCCAATTAAGCTAGTCCAGAAGTTCACTTATACCCTACTTATTTATTAATTCTACATTTTTTTAATCCAGGTGTGATACCACGAAATGTGGGGTAGGGTCCGAGAAACACCTTGCTTGTTTATTAAATAACAAAACAGAATTACATGGTATGGGGATGTGGCACCAAACCCTACCTCATTAGAGAACATACGGGTAACTAATTGCATAAAATTTGACAGTCTATGAATTTACTATAAGTGTCCGGGCTATTAGCAAACAGATCTGCGTTTAACGCTACATATTATGTTGTCATAGTATGAGAGTAGCTTAAATTGTTGTCTTTGTACGACTCTTTATAGTCATTGAGAATAGCAATCTCTTTCCATGATGGTCTCTCTCTTCCTTGGGGGTCTGTATTACCTGCAAATTGCCACATTCAATAATGATATTAATGTTGTTGAGGTAAACTAGTCACTACACATATGCGTTGCACGGGAGTGTAGTGCGTTGCACGGGAGTGCAGTATGTATCTATATAATAATTAGAAGCAATTAAATAAAATTTTAAAATAGTTTGGTAGCATTTAATTTCTACTCAGGCAAGTAACCCGTCATGTCAATGTCATACAATGTCACTCTTTTACTAATTTAAAAAGAAACAAAAGTTAACATCAAATTTAAAAACTTAAATCCTTAAGTGCATCAAAGTTTACACATAATCCAAAACTCCAGATGATCCATCACTTTCAAATTACATAAATAACAAATTCGGGGAAATTCCAAAAAGATAGTGGTTTTGAAACTCCTATGCAAAAACACAAGACTTTTTTTATTACCTCGGGGGGTCTGGTGGGGCTTGAGGTAAATTGAGATGAATCTCACTCCATTGAGTATTGAACCGTGGACCTTCATAAGGGAGAGT